TATTTTTTCGTTCTTAATAAAAGATCTCAAGTTTTACTTCTCTTGAGTATGGAATTGTTTTTATTAGGCAGGGATTTACTTTTAATATGGGATTTCATGCGCAAATTCGAATTTAATTGGACTTTGATATAACTACGGACACTGAGTGGAAAAACATAATGAAAAAAAAAAACTCCTTGAATAATGCTAAGGGAAGAAATTAGATTTTTCGTGTCTTAATTTATGTGATGTCTTTTAAATTTTGAGATTTAAATAATTTGTTTTTATTATAATATTGTATATGTTTTTAAAAATATTTTAATTTTTTTTTATGATTTATAACATTTTAAAAGTAGTTTATATATATATAGATTTTATTTTTAAAAAAAAGTTAAGATCTCATGTCCAACTTTGTCATAAAAACTAAAGAAATTGAGTTTAGAATTTAAATTGTGACATATAAATGAAAATAAACAGTAATAGAATATACATAGATTATAACCGTATTGTTACTTTGTTAGAATGGTATAACAAAATAGGTAGGAGTAGTTCTTCAATAAGGAAAGAGACCTCATGGTGATAGAGTGCTATTTTTGGAAAATGTTCTATTTAAGTAAAAAAAATCAAAGAGTAACGAAACGAAAAAATGTAGTAAAAAAACATAATAACTAATAAACAACAATTTAAAGCATTCCATATCCCCCTATCCTCCTAGATGAAAAAATGCTCAAGGTTCTATATATTCTTTCTTTGTTCAATTATTTCTATCCTTTTTATTTTTAGTCTCAGATTTCTTTTCCTCTCCAAGCCAATCAATCGCCTTCTTAGTTAGCTGCGGAATCCGAACAATAACATCGATAATATAATAACGTATGCTAATAAATATCAAAAGTTTTAAACTAAATGAATAATGCTAGTACTCTGACAAAACCCCCGATCCTCCATACTACGAGCAAACCCTATCAACTAATAATCTTTGCTATAATTCGAGATCATCATATCTAAAATCATATTTATTTTCAATAAGTTGAAGTTATATCATGTTCAGTCTAATTATCTTTGCCCAATAATTTTTTGACCTATCTTTACCTCTTTTCGTATTCGCAATACCTAACCTATCACGCTGATCATTGGCCTTCCCTTCTCTCATCCACATAGGTCGATTCCTTCTTGTTATATTCGAATTCCTATTTGATCACTTTTCGTATGACATCCATCTCAATATTATCATGCGCAACTTGTTTCTTCTGAACATGAAATATTTTGGCTGAACAATATTCTGTTTTGTACAATATATTGAAGTCGGTCTAATCCATTTCGTAAAATTTATCTTTAAATTTTGATGATATCTTTTTATCATATAAATTTTTTTTTAAAAAAGACCTTATTTTCATCCATGCCACATCAAAATTAAAATTAAAATATTTAAAAATTATATAAATTGATTTTTTCATATCATTATAATAAAAATTTATTTTAAAATTAGTATATTTTGACTTTCGTAAAATTAATAATGACAAATTATTTAAGAGGGAGGGATTACTATTAAATAACTGAAAGGGAAGAAGGAGTAGCAAAACTTAACTTTGCTAGCTGCTATAATGTATGGTCCCTATCTTTCTTAATTTATAAACTATATAGTATACTAGATATTAGGTTCCCGCGCCAGCGCGGGCCCAATATATATTACTTCCTCCGTCTAATTTTATGTGAGGTAGTTTGATTCGCCACAAAATTTAAGAAAGAAATGAAGACTTTTAAAATTTGTGGTACAAAATGAATTATATAAATTTGTATGATTGTAAATTATTTCATTAAGGGTAAAATAAATATTTTATAGTCAAATTGTTACTTAATATAGAAATGTGACATTCTTTTGGGACTGACTAAAAAGGAAAGTAAGTTACATAAATTGGGAGTAGTTCTTTATTTCAATTTATGTGACACCGATGAAATTTGGAGAGTTATATAATTTTTTGTATGTGATTTTGTTAAATATATTTTGAAGTTGTTAATTTATTGTGATTTATAGCACTTCTTATATCATTTTCAAATAATATATATTACTCTTTCTGTTCCATTTTATGTGACGTAGGTACTTTTACGAAAGTCAACTAAATTTCTTATATGATTCTTAAATATTTTTAGTTGTTATTTTACTTTAATTTACAGTACTTTTTATGTTATTTTCAAACAAACTTCTTTTGTTTCAATATGGAATTAAAGAGTCAATAAAATTTATTTTATGATTTTTAATTATATTTTTTTTAATATCTTATATTATTACATTGTGATTTTCAGTACTTTTTATATAATTTTAAAATATAGAATAAATTAAAAGAAAAACAAGGAAAAATTTAAATGAAGAAAGTACTAAAATTTTCAAATAATAATATTTCTATATAAAAATGTTAAAAACTTTAGAACTCCACATATATGCACAGAATAATATACGGAAGACAAAATAATTTTTAAAATATGTATTAAAGCTCTTTCTAATAATATCACATATTTATTCTATTTTTTAAATATGACTCCTTCCGTATCAATTTATTTGAACATGTTTTTTTTATTTCACTTAAAAAAGAAAATTACTTCTTAATTTTAATTTTTTTACATAGCGTATCTTTGATTATAAAATTAGAAATACTTTTTACTTTAATATATGTGATATATTTTAAATTTAAGATTATAAAAATTAAAAATATTCTTCATATTTAACACTTCGTGCAAAAAAAAATAGATGAAACAATTAAAATGAAAGAAACAATATAAATAATTTATTAATGAATGAATGAATTAATAAATAATATTCAAAGATCCCTGGAGGATAGAAATTGGAAATAATAAAATATAAGAACAATGCAAGGAAAAATGAAATGGTGTACAAAAGTAATAATAGGGCCCACACAATTAAAGGCGTAAAAGAGGGAAAAAAGCAAATGGTTTTTGTGTCCAACAAAAAGGAAGTACATTTATGAAGTAGGCAAGTACAATTATTTTTCAAGTTTGGAAAGTACGAAATACCATAAAGCAGCCCTCTATTTTGATTTATTTACGCAAGTTCCTTCATCGCCCGGCCCACGTGGAGGCTATTAACTGATTTCGTAGTATTCAGGTACTCAACACTTACGTAAAGTAAAGCATAGAATGACAAAAATAACCCTTAAATTGAGTGTATTTTCACGTAAGCACACGTGTTGACAGAGAAGAGTGTGCTTATTCGCTCTTCTTATATAGTAAAAAATACCAATAATTCCAAATTTAAAGTGATAATAATTTAGTAGGCACTATTGATTGATTTGGAAATGGATGATGTAATGTTAAACTAATTTTATACTTAAATTAGTAGCATGGTATGTGAACGTAAGTGAAAACATGTAGAATTAACAGAAAACTCCATTAACAAGGAGCTAACATTGAAGAAGAGAAACTCTCATTGTTTGAGTTCAAAGACTAAGTAATACATCAGTGTAAGACTAGTATTTATAGCTAATTCCTATTACATTGTGTAACTAACTTCTAGAATCTACTAACAGAAAGTTAGTTATAACTAATTAGTTGGAAAAGACTAATCTGCCCTTTATTAACACTAACAACTTTAAGTTGTACTCTCCTTGCTTCATCATCAGCTCATATCTCAACACTCCCCTTCAAGCTAGGAGGTGTAAAGATGTTCAACACACCTAGCTTGGATACTAGATGTTCATGTTGTATCCTGGACACTCCTTTTGTCAAAATGTCTGATGGTTGCTCTTGTGTAGGTAGATAGCCTATTTTGATCAAGCCTTGTTGTAGTCTTTCCCTTATGAAATGGCAGTCTATCTCTATATGGTTTGTCCTCTCGTGATACACTGGATTTGCAGCAATTTGTATGGCAGCTTTACTGTCACTATATACTTGCACTAGCAGCTTAATATCAGCTCCTACTTCTTTCAACATTCTAAGTAACCACACCAACTCTGAGACTGCAGATGCTAGGCTCCTGTATTCAGCTTCAGCTGAACTTTTGGACACTGTGGTCTGCTTCTTTGCTTTCCATGACACCAATGACTTGCCTATCTTGACCATGTACCCTGTAACTGATCTTCTAGTAAGTGGACATGAAGCCCAATCAGCATCACAAAATGCAGTAACTAGTTCATTTGAGGAACTAGCCAGCAATAGACCTTGACCAGGTTCCTTTTTTAAGTATCTCACCACTCTCAATGCAGCATCCATATGTGACTTCTTTGGTTGCTGTAGAAATTGACTCAAAGTCTGTGTGCTAAAGGATATGTCTGGCCTTGTCATGTTAAGATATAACAACTTTCCAGTTAGTTTCTAGTACATTGTCTGATCTGCCAATGGGTCCTCAGAATTATCTCTCAGTTTTACCTGTTCATTATACTGTATTGATGTTAACTTAACATTGACATCAATAGGGGTTCCTGCAGGCTTGGCTGCTGTCATACCAACCTCAGTTATAAGCTCCAGAGCATACTTCCTTTGATGCATTAGTATACCATCTGCTGATCTACTAAACTCAATACCTAGGAAATACTTTAGTTCACCTAGGTCCTTTATCTTGAAAGCCTTTTGTAGTGCCTGTTTAGTCTCTTCTATTAATTCAAGACTGCTGCCAGTAATTAACATATCATCCACATAGACTAGCACAATACAAATTCCAGCTTCTGACTTGTTGATGTATAATGAGTAATCATATTGGCTTTGTTTGAACTTAAGAGCAACAAGAGCTTCAATCAACTTGTGATTCCACTGCCTTGAAGCTTGTTTGAGCCCATACAGTGACTTGGTCAGTCTACACACCTTCTCCCCTTGACTGACAAAACCTTGAGGAAACTGCATATAAATTTCATCTTCTAGATCTCCCTGCAAGAAAGCATTAAAAACATCCATCTGATGAATATGCCAGTGCCTTGAAGATGCAAGAGAAACAATAGATCTCACAGTCACCATCTTAACAACTGGTGAGAAAGTTTCCTTGTAATCAATACCCTTTTGTTGGCTATACCCTTTAGCTACCAACCTGGCTTTAAACCTCTCAACTTCTCATGTAGCTTTGTACTTAATCTTATATATCCACCTGCAGCTATAGGCTTCTTCCCTTGGGGTAAATCTATGATCTCCCAAATGTTGTTGTCTTCCAAGGCTTGAATCTCAGTTTGCATAGCATCAACCCATCTAGGATCCTTAACTGCATCTGAGTAGGTACAAGGTTCTTTCAGAGATGAGGTAGCAACTATATAACATTGATAGGTAGGAGAGAGATGACTATAGTTCATGTAGTTGCATAAGGGATACTTCACATCCTTATTTATGTTGAGAGAAACGAAATCCTTCATCCATAGAAGTTTGTGTGTAGTTCTTGAGGATTTTCTAGTATCAACTGGTACAACCTGCACAGGAACTTCTTGGACTGTTTCCTCCATGATGTCAGTAGCCTGAGAAGTGGTCAAGGGATCAGGTACCTCTAACTCAGGTTCTCAATAAAAAGAAGTTGTTGTAACTGTATCTTCATTACAATTAGGTGTAACAGGAGCCTGAGGAGAAGTGGCGTGAAGGATAAAATCTGAAGCCTGCAAATTGTCTACAAAGACTGGTTGGCTATCAGTGATGTATGTATGTGAAAAAGGGAACACATCTTCCCTAAATATGACATCTCTACTGACAAAGAATGATCTAGTAGCAATGTCAAATATAATGTACCCCTTATGTATTTCTGAATATCCCATATGAGCTGCAGTTCTAGACCTGGGCATCATCTTATCATGTGCAGAAAGAACCTTTGCAAATCATAAGCAACCAATAGTTCTGAAGTGTGATAAGTCTGGTTTTCGACCATATAACTTCTCATATGGAGTTTAAAAGTTAAGCACACTACTAGGTAGTCTATTAATAATATGTGATGCAGCTAGCACACAATGTCCCTAGAACTGTAAGGGAATTTTTGCCTGAAACCTTAAGGCCCTTGTAACCTCAAGTAAATGTCTGTGCTTTCGTTCAGCCACTCCATTCTGCTGAGGGGTGTAGGGACATGATCTCTGATGAATAACTCTCATCTCCTTAAACATAGTCTCACAGACAAAATTCACAAACTCAGTACCATTATCAGTCCGTATCACTTTGATGGTTTTAGCAAACTGATTCTTAACAAACTTTAGAAACAGTTGTATAGACATGCTCACGTCATATTTATGCTTTAATAGAAAAATCCAGGACATTCTTGAGAAGTCATCAACTATCGTAAGAAAGTATTTATTTCCATCAAAAGTAGGTGTGCTATAAGGACCCCAGAGGTCAACATGAATCAAATCAAAACTGTTTGAACTTTTAATGCTACTAGAAGGAAAAGTAAGCCTTGTATGTTTAGCATAGGGACAAACTAGACACTTAGACACTCTACTCATACTTTGATTATTCATATCAAGCATCCTAGCAAGAACTCCTGAGGACACATGTCCTAGTCTTTGATGCCACAGCTCCAACTCTGAGGCAGTTTGAGCAACTGACAGTGCAAAATCTTTCTTATCAGTGAACCAACATCCCTCCTTTTCACAAAATATTTTTTGAGTTTACAGACATCCTTCTTCTTCACCAATCTCCTTCACCTTTCCACTGTAAAGTTCCTGGAAAACACAACAGTTAGGGAAAAAGTGACTGAGCACCCAAGTTTCTTTGTTAGTTTGCTCACTGACATCAGATTATACTTGAATTCAGGTAGATAGAAGACATTGGAAATGATACTTCTATCTGATAGAGCACAAGAACCAACATGAGTCACCTGTGTAGTATTTCCATTAGGCAAATACACACTCTTAGGAACCTCTAACTTGATCACAGACCCTTTGATAAACATATCCAACTGAGATACCATATGGTTTGTTGCACCAGTATCTACAATCCACACATTACTATTTTCAGAAACAAAGAAAGTTTTACCTGCAGTGTGAGCAGCATGTGCAGGATAACAGTCTGAAGAAGTAGATTCATTCTTGTTTTGGAAACCTGTGAGAATATGATCATATTGTTCCTTTGTAAAAGTGCAACCCTGAAGAAGATGTTTGACCTTCATCTCAGCTTGACTCATTGCTTTGTGCCCTTTGGAATTTTCTATCACTTCATCAGCAACCTGTTTAGTATCAGATTTCCTTCCCCATGCTGGAACAAGAACATTGGTATTCATACCATATGAGAAGTGAGCTAACTGATGGTGTGAGTCTGAGGAAGTCCCATGTACCTTCCTTTTAGACTTGAAGTCTGGTGGATATCCAACAATCTTATAACAAAATTCTTTGCTGTGACCCTTACAATGACATAAATCACATACCATAATAGAATTCTTTTTGAACCGTTGACTTGGTCCTGAAGAAGTACCAGTTTTAGAAAACATAGCTATAGAGTCTCCTCCAACTGAGTTTAATCCCATGCTGTTAGTGACTGAAACCACAGCCTTTTGGCACTCATCCCCCACTATCATAACATATGCATGATTAGTAGTTGGTAAGGGATTCATCATCAATATTTGGCTCCTAGCATGATGATAAGACTCATTTAACCCCATCAAAAATTGATATAATCTTTGCCTATTCAGATGAGCAACAAATCCTTTAGACTTGTCACAGTTACAGCAAGGAGCAAGAACTAAAGCTTCAAACTCATCCCGTAGTGTTTTGAGTTTCGTGTAGTACACAGACATAGAATCAGTACCCTGATGTAATGAGGCAATGTCCTTATGTAGACTGTGGGTTCTAGATCCATCTATCCTGTTAAACCTCTCTTTTAAATCATTCCAGACTTGAAAAGCACTGGATGCAAAATCAATACTACTGAGCAGACTTTTTGACACTGAATTCATTAACCACGAAAGTACAATTGCATTAACCCTTTCCCATTGTCCCCACAGTTCTTCACCAAACATCTCTTTCATACAGGATCCATCTACTAGCCCTACCTTGTTCATTCCTAGTAGTGCTAGTGTAATGGAACGATTCCATAAGGTATAATTCTCAACACCAATCAATTGAAAGGAAATGATGCTAACTCCACTAATATCAGCCGGACTAAGGAAGAGAGGATGATTGTAATCAATACCTTGTCCAGATGCAACATGAAGTGGTGTGGATGTACTCTCATTCTGGCCATTGTTGAATGTTTAATCCAGATCTACAGTTGCTCTGTTAGTTTCCATTTCTCTGAAGCTCCAATCAATCAATAGTCGCGGAAGCAAATTACAAACAATACAATTTGAATAACATATCCTAGCTTAGATCTGCAATTCTACTGGAAAAACTGATAAATTGGTAGCTTAGATTTGCAATTATACTGAAAAACTGATGAATCTGTGAATCGAATACTCAATTCTTTTATCCAAACACCGATCACCTTTCACAGAGATTGTTGTGGGCGGCTCTGATACCATGAACGTAAGTGAAAATAGGCAGAATTAACAAAAAAACTCCATTAACAAGAAGCTAACATTGAAGAAGAGAAACTCTCATTGTTTGAGTTCAAAGACTAAGTAATACATCAGTGTAAGACTAGTATTTATAGCTAATTCCTATTACATTGTGTAACTAACTTCTAGAATCTACTGACAGAAAGTTAGTTATAACTAATTAGTTGGAAAAGACTAATCTTCCCTTTATTAACACTAACAGCTTTAACTTGTACTCTCCTTGCTTCATCATCAGCTCATATCTCAACGGTATGACTATATATATATATATATATATATATATATATATATATGTGTGTAACTTACCTAAATTCCATAGTGTAAAGATCTAAATTACATTGTATCCCTACTGTTTTTCAATTTACAAAAATCCCTCAAAATCAGTGTTATCCGGATACATAGCAAACAAGTCGGATACATTAATTCCAATACATTAAAACAAATTCAGTTACACTTTTAAAGGAAAGGTAATTAATTTTGAATGTGAGTTCCCCAAATCACGCTAATTAATTTGTTGTCAATCTTTCTCAAATGGTAACTGCTTCAATTATTTCAAAATTCAAATTTTCTTCTTTCAATTCTCTTCCAAATCCTCCTAGCTTCAAACAATTCAATCAGAAGCAAATCCTTCTAGAATCAACAAATTCAAAATTCATCGTCTCATGTTCATCAAATAATCATTCAAATCAGATTCAAATTTACCGAAAATTTGATAAGATACATAATGAATAATTGTTGGGCAAATAATTTCTTTTATGAATCTGAAATCCACCATTGTAGTAGATCGATGAGATGAGGAAAACTTGAAAATCCGATATATAGTAGAAGGAAATCCTTCCGGAATCAAAGAAAGTGGAGATTTTCTTTCGGAATCTGAAGCAAATCCTTTCGAAATCTGAGAAAGTGAGGTGAGGTATGAATGATACAAAAGTGATGAAATGGTTGTTGGTCAAAATATTGATTTGTGAATCTCAAATCAACCATTGCAGCTGAATTAAGGATCGATGAGTTGAGGAAAAAATTGGAGATCTGATACATCGTTGAGGTGAAGAAACAAGAGTTTGGATTTTCATTGTATCCGTTATGGATTGATACAACAAACATAAACTCTAAAGAGATCCATACCTTTGATGGATCATTCATACCTTTTATAATTTTGTGTAATTGTTTTTTGAATTTTATTTTCGAGATGGATATTTATCAATACATTACTATTTATGTATCTGGTAGTTGCTACGTATCAGATACAATTAGCGTAAATACAAATTTATGTATCATGTCTAAAAAATTGTGTATTTGTTCATGCAAGAATAGAATGTTGTGTATCCGATACATAGCAACACCTAGATACATGGCAAATGATACATTTAGTAGAAGTTATATATCAAGTATCAAAATTAATATTTGAACACGATACACTGTGTATGATAAAATTGTAATGTATCATAGTGTTGAAACAGAGGCATTATACATTAATTTAAGAAACAAAATTAACTAGATACATTAAAAATCTAGTTAATGTATCCCAAACTATAACCGTAAGATAATTTAGTAATTTGAACACGATACATTGTACATAATGAAATTGTAATGTATCATAATGTTGAAACGAAAACATTATACATTAATTTAAGAAACAAAAACAACTAGATACATTAAAAATCTGAACACATATATATTAGAAAAAGATGAACAAGAAAAAATGAGGGGAAAAAAATCAAATTGATATGAAAATTGTAACTGATAAGATTGTAGAGAATCCTTTTGAAAATCAAATTGATATGAAAATTGTAACTGATAAGATTGTAGAGAATCCTTTTGAAAATCAAATTGATATGAAAATTGTAACTGATAAGATTGTAAAGTGAAATTAGGGAGAGATTAAAGGAGTGAAAAAGGAAAGGAAATCATTTGTTAAGGCTGAAATACTTATGTATCCGTTTGACTTGAGAATTGACGTAAAATTTATCTTTAAATTTTGATGATATCTTTTTATCATATAATTTTTTTTTAAAAAAAAGACTTTATTTTCATCCATGCCACATCAAAATTAAAATTAAAATATTTAAAAATTATATAAATTAATTTTTCATATCAATATAATAAAAATTTATTTTAAAATTAGTATATTTTGACTTTCGTAAAATTAATAATGACAAATTATTTAAGAGGGAGGGATTACTATTAAATAACTGAAAGGGAAGAAGGAGTAGCAAAACTTAACTTTGCTAGCTGCTATAATGTATGGTCCCTATCTTTCTTAATTTATAAACTATATAGTATATACCAATAATTCCAAATTTAAAGTGATAATAATTTAGTAGGCACTGTTGATTGATTTGGAAATGGATGATGTAATGTTAAACTAATTTTATACTTAAATTAGTAGCATTGGTATGACTATATATATAGCGACGTATATACTTATCTTTATTTATATATTTATAACATTATCCCTTTCGTGAAGAATAAAAAGAACATTAATTGTAACTTTAAATCTAATGGGGGGAATCATAAATAGTTAGTAACGTATTAGGAAAAAACTTCCCTCTCATTCATGTTTACGTACCTAAATAAATACTTCATCAGTTTATATTAGTCGATCACTTTTTGTTTTACATACTCCCTCTATATGAAATTAGGGACAGAGGGAATACATATTAAGAAATCATAAATTAAAAAAAATATGAATTCACCTCTTATAAAACATCTTGAATTTTATAAATACATGTGAATACTTTGAAAAAAAATTAATTGAAAGGGTAATATAGAAAGAAACAAATTAGTTAATGTTTTCTTGATTTAATAAGGTGAACAATTAATTAATATGGGACAACTATATTAGTATGATGATCAACTATTATGAGATGGGGGAGTAGATAATTTGATATGTATCTGTACATAAAATTTTATATTTAATTGTGTTTAATTATACTAGCTTGGTTAGTTAAAATTTCAAAATTTGTTTCAAAATATTTTTTATCAAAAGTATTTTCAATTTTTTTTTAAAAAAAATACGCTCTCTGTTCCATATTAGATGGAAATCTTACTAAAATAGTTATCACATATTACTTGATCAATTACTAAATCAGGATAGAATTAATTGAATTTTTTCCATATAATCCCTAGAATTAATATGGCCCGTGGAATATGAACAATTCTCAAAACTAGCTATTCTTATATTCTATGTATATTTTTTCCAACTTATTTTTATGTGCATTGATATGAACAAAGAATAAAATAGTAAAGCTGATTAATTTGTCAATAATTTCTTAATCATCATATAAATTAAAAAGTATCCATCTAATATGAAATGAATGGAGTAATAATTCATGTTTGGTCAATCGATTTGAAAAGCAAATCTGCTTATGATTTGGCTAATAATTTATGCTTTATCGAAATTTCAATAAAGCTTCTAAAAAAAAGTAAGACTATAAACTCTACCAAAAAAAAAAAACTTTTACTAAAAGCATATGTTTTCCTTAGAAGTTTAGCCAAACATCTGATTGACATCCTCAAGTCATTTATTATTTAATCATATTATAATATGATTAATCTTGGTGTGTAAGTTGAGTGCAAACAAACATTTTCACAAAGCAAATTTCTTATGATATATGAAATTTAACTCGGTTATTGCTAAAGTTAATAAATCTGTCATTTCTTAAAATCTCTCTTATGATGCAAAATTATAGTGTAACGTGTATCTTTCCTTGTTCCAGATTAATAAGCATGACTCATCAATTATTTGAGGTTCATGAATTTGGGCCATAAACCTTGCATATACATGTATAGTCGCTCGTTAACAATTGATGGCCCAACTGAATGTGATTGAAAAATGAACAATTTCTATATTTCATCATATTTCTTCTATTATTATGCAAATAATATTTTTTAAAAATTGAAAAATAATCATGTGAAGAAGTACGTATGAGTGCAAATATGGAAGATTTTTTTTTTGGAAATTTCGAGAGAAACCCATAATTACTATCATTTGAATACGTATTGTGTAAATTATTCATGTGCAATAGCTTCTAAATCACACAAGAGATGTAACTGCACTAGGCAACCCCTGTACAACGAATCGGACTAAGAAAGGGACCAAGTGATGAACACCCCCTAGCATCCTTTTTTGGGATAGTGTACTCACTACGCCAAACTTAGCCAATTCCGAAAGGATCACGTGAGATTCGATCCCTACTCTCTCTTATTGAATACTCTTGCTATACTATATCAGCAACCCTATCGAGTTAAATAAAGAATTGAAGATCTGTGTTTCATTCCGTTAACAAGTTAAAAATTTTAACTTGTGATTTTTGACTTATAAGTCATAAGTTATAAATCTATCCAAACAAACAGTCATAAGTTATTGTGTCCCTCTTGAAGTTACCTTTAACTTTCACTAAGTTCCTATATTGTTTATTCACTTGTTTCATGATCCGATTAAGTACAATATATGTAGTTGGTTCGATATACTTTATCAATCATCAAAACTCATTAAGTTTAACAGAATTAATTAAAATGCGTGCAAATTAATTCAACTACAACCTTATAAAAAAAAGAAGAGGAAAATACACACATGGTGTTTTGTTATCTGCTATCCCATAGTGATACACCTCTCCATACATTTGCCATTTGGATCCACACATCAACTCTGCCCTTTATTTTGTGCATGTTCCCTGCCGACAATATGCCATGAAATCCTTTCAATTCTCACTTGTACTAATAACATGGGAAGTGCTAAAAATTAAAAAAATTATAATATTTTTTTTATTTTAAAACAAACTAATCTTTTTTCCATTTTTAGTTAAAAAGAATTAAAGTTAAAAGGATAAAAATGTTTAAAAAGGTAAAATAACATAGATAAAATATCATTTTGATCAAACTCTGATCAAATTTTCTGGTAAATATTTTTTTCCCTAATAATGGGATATTCTTTTCTTTTGAGTTCTTGGAAGTTTCTCTTA